AAATAAATAAATAAATAACACATACACAAAAAAATCACTGCAAGACTCATTGGAAATGTGATTAATCCCTTCTGGCTGAAGGGGGTGGGAAGAAAAGCAATCAAGCATGCAAGACCCATTGGAAATGCACAGAAAACAAATGGAGCAGATCAGAAATGCACAGAGAAAAATTGGGGGAAGATTGGAAATGCAAATAAAACAAAGGAAAAACAAGAGAAGCATGCACGACCCATCAGAAATGGGGAAAAAACCCAAAAGCAACCACCACCACCCAGAGCCTTTGGAAATGGGAGAAAAACCCAAAAAGCAAACAAACCCCCCAAGATCCATCAGAAATGGGGGGAAGCCAAAAAACAAATAAACCCCGCAAGATCCATCAGAAATGGGGGGGGGCAAAAAAACAAAAAACAAACAAACCACCAAGACCCATTGGAAATGGGGGGAAAACTCAAGGAGCAACTAAACCCCCCAAGACCCATCAGAAGTGGGGGGAAACAAAAAAAACCCCAAGACCCATTGGAAATGGGGAAAAACACTCCAAGAAGCAACAAAACCCCTCAAGACCCATCGGAAATGAGGAGAGCCAAAAAACAAACAAACCCCCAAGACCCATCACAGCCTAAAACCATGCTGCAAAACCACCCAGAACAGGTTTTAAAAAGCAGAAAAACAGCACCTTATCTTACCAGGCAACCCAAAGTCTCCCTGCAAACACACACACACACACACACACACACAGTCTCCGTGCAAGCACACACACACACACTCAGAAGCAGAAGCGAGCAGCCCCAAGCCTCCTTGGACCCACACTCTCTAACTGCTGGGGCGAAAGAGCTACAAAGAAGCAGCCTTGTCGCCGCCTATAGTTAGAAATTTGAATTTCCCACCTTTTTCCCCTGCCTTTTTCTTTTCGTAAATGGAAGCTCCGGTCACAAGTAGAAGCAAACTTTTGCGGCCGGAGATGGTCATAACTTGAAATGGTCGGGACATTCATAAAATGAGGCACCACTGTATTGCAATTATTATTATATCAACATTTCCCAACCAGAAGACTTGTTCAGTCAGAGTAACACTGCACCACAATTCAACTGGTTATTCAGAGTGACAAATACCCCAATACACCAGGAGAGAGACCAGATCGCTTTTTTAATTAGGAAGTATAGACTACTATCTTCTACTGGTTCACCGGAAAATCACCTTTCGAGGACTATCCCCTTCCTATGTATTGTGTGTGTGTTTTTAAGACTATAATTGATTTTATATCATTCAACTCAGATTCTAGGAAAAAAATCCACAAAATCATATAAGCAGCGAAATAGAGCAAAACTAAAAGGAAACATTACTCGTGAAGAACAAGGAAGATCCTCCAACCTGGAGTGATTTTGATTCAGGTGTGTAACTTGCAATAATCAAGTAGTGCCTATGGTCCAAACTGAAATACTTTATTTCACTGCTTTCTGGCACAGAGATGCTCTGTATCTGTAAGAAAAGAAATGAAGAAAATCTAATTACCTAAATAATTAATGGAGTACCATTTTAATGGAGCTGTACTGTGTTACTCTGCCACATAATGTTGAATTACTGTCTCTGTAGTTCAATACTATAATTTTATTTTTACTTTCCATGATGTAAAGAAACCATGGGCTGCACTTGAAGATACTTATTACTACAGTGGTGTCTCGCAAGACAATTGCCTCGTGGGACGATTAATCTGCAAGACAATTAGTTTTTGTGATCGCAGTTGCGCTTCGCAAGACGATGGTTTCCTATGGACGATGTTTGCAAGATGACGATTTTTCCCCATTGGAACGCATTAAATAGATTTCAATGCATTCCAATGGGGAACCGCATTTCGCAAGATGATGTTTTCACAAGACAGTGATTTTCACGGAACGAATTAACATCGTCTTGCGAGGCACCACTGTACAACCAAATTGTATATGGGCTAATCTCCCCCATACCCTCCTATACTTACAAACTGGGAGAGGGGCTTCATATTTTGCAGTGTGAAAAGAAGTGTCGCTTTTAAAAAAAAACTCTTTCCTTTATACCATTACTTCTTTTTGAACGACCCTCCATTCCAAAACTAGGTACAATATCAGTAACAATAATCTCACCATCCAGGTCTAACAGCTGGCTGTTGCAGAGGGAATGATTTAAAATAGAGAAACAAACCTGAGGAGAGAGTTTTAAAAACCTCTTCCCAGCCCTGATCCACTTTGGGCCTCCCTGTTCCTGTGGTTTTAAGGAAAAACAAAACATTTGGGGGTCAAAGCATAGACTTCTCACAACATATCTTGTTCCACTGCCAAACACCCGTAAGAGTGAGAGGGGCTCACTCTCATTTATTGTGACTGATGTGGTCATATTTAGAAAGATGATGTTCAACTGTAGACCCCATTTTACTAGTTTCCTGTTCCTGAATTAAATTTGGCCACATTTTAAAAGCTTAACATAATGAGTTGAGCTGCACCATGCTTTTGATACATATGTGAAAACAGTTCTGAAATGAGCTTATCTATGTGATGAGGAAAAGAATGCTAAATATGGTGTTCTACCATAGTCAGGTAAGTATACAAGCTTTTTTTAAAAAAGGATTTTGTTTAATTACCTGCTGTAAATGGAATCCAGGGGTGAAGAAGTATATAGTATGATTTGAAGGTCTATGTTGCTTTTTTCCACCATGTGTAACTACTAGATAGGAAGAGCCATTGATTTGAAATGCAGTACAGCGATGAGGATCCTCAATACTAAATTCCTAAGAAGAGAATCATGATATTGAAAACTTAGGTGTTTCTTGCTTATCCAAATAATATCATACATAAATATGCCCTATATAACAAAGACTAATTATAATAATATTAGAACTATGACAATATAAGAGGAAGATGTAATTCAAAAGAGTTACAAATAGCCTTTTTCCTTGAAATATGACACTAATGCATCATTATTGTTATTTCTGTCTTTTATATGTATGAAAACAGTGGAGAGTATTCTGGATTATTCTTGCATTTGTTTTTTGTTATTTTCTTGGGTTTTTAAAAATATATTCAGATACTTTAAAATCAGTTTTTACCCCAACAGGAACAAAAACTCCCCGCCACTGGTATATTGAAGAATTCAGTGCTGGGTGTGTTTGCAACAATTTTATGCCATATATAAAATCTCCTGTTGAAAAGAAACACCAGCTTGATATTGGTTCTTCCATAAAACTTTGTAAGATGGACAGCACACTTAATCCGCCCTCTGCAAGAAAGGAAAAAGAATATAAACGTTCTAGTTATTGTGCGATAGGTGGAAAACAAAGAAAGAGAAACCCATGTTTCTGACATGACTCCATTAACTCAAATGGATGAATCTATAAATGAGTCAAAATATTTGTTCCAGAATGAGAACTAGTAAGCCATGATAGACAGTGCACAAGCAGTGACAATGACTGAGTCAGTTCCATGTATTTTCCAACTGTTGTATGGAATTTTAAAACTTACTCAAAAATTGACTTACTTATCCCAAATGCAGTATTAGACATTGTTTCCCATTCCACACTCACTGATGTGTTGACCCCATTGCTCCGGGATACTTTCAAGTAGACTGTTGTGTTGCTTTCTTCAATTACAAGAGAAGAAGTCCTAAAAGTTATGGAAACCATTACTAAAGTAAAGAAATAGATGCCCTTAATAAGACTAAGCCCTGGAAAGACTACTTCAGGGATGGAAACCTAGAACTAAATGAACACTAGAACAAGGCATAGTTACACCCCTTCATCACATCTGCACACTGTAAATAAACATGCTAGATTTCTGAGTATACTGAAAGAATCTGACACATTACTTTTCTCCCTGATTAAAATAGAGGTCAGATGATCTCAAGGAAAACTTTAGTGAATGCCAATTATATTGCCAATGCATTACAAGTCAATGGGCATATACTGTCATCTATTCATTTATAAGCATCTCCCATTGTCTGTGTTTCTACATAGATTTCAATAAATAACTGAGTTGATGCAACACACAGCATCACTCATATAAACACTCTTGCATACTCGTACATAAAATTACTGATAGGACTACATGATATACCTATTTGTAACTGGACAGATGCTGAAAAGTCCCAGTGGTGCCTGATTTTGCAAAACTGTAATCAAAGTTTCTGTTCTCGTGCCTAGTCTGGCTCCACCAGTTGGATTGAACAGAGTAACAATGAACTGTTCATCCATTTCTGGTTCAGCATCTAGTATAGCAGTGATATGAAGAGTCTGTAAGAAAACAGAGAAATCATAGATCCATTACAACAATGTCAAAAAGAATAAAAATGCAATGCTGATTGTGCAGCCTTACACATATTTACTCAGATGTCAACCTCACTAAGGCCAGTGTTAGTTATCTCCAGGTAAAAAAGAACAGGATTATATGCTAAAATGACATTGAAAGGGCTGATAAATACAAAAGATACAGTTCCCCTGAACAAATTATGTTCTTTACCCAGTGTGTTGTTAGTCTATGGAACCCCTTGCCACAGGATGTGGTGACACCATCTGGCCTAGACACCTTTAAAAGGAGATTTGACAGATTCCTGGAGGAAAAGTCTATCACAGGTTACAAGCCATGATGGGGATGTATAATCTCCAGGCTTAAAAGGAAGGTACCTCCAAATGCCAGACGCAGGGGAAGGGTATCAGGAGACAGGTATCTAGTTGCCTGGTGTGCTCCCAGAGGCATCTGGTGGGGCCACTGTGAGATACAGGGAGCTGGACTGAAGGGGCCCTTGGCCTGATCCAGCAGTGTTCTTCCTATGCTCTTATATTATTGTTATATTAACCAATATAATTTGGGTTGGTTTATCCGTGATGTTCATATTTTTAGTGACTCTTAATAACCAAATAAGTACCGACATTTTTGTTCTGTTTTACATGGCAGGGCATTTTGAAATTGTATTTCGCCTAGCTGAACTCAGAACATTAGAGTTTAAAAGGAATTTGTTGCATAATGCATTACTTCTCAGCAACCAGTTTGCTATTATCATTGCTCAAATGCTGTAAGTTGCTTGTTCATAGCACACTCCAGGAGAAAGAGAGTCTCCAGTTCCTTCTAGCACCAAATGTTAACATTGTATCTTCGAAGTATTTATAAAAATACAAAAGACGTAACAACTGAAAGAGAATGGCATAAATCCTATAAAAATTCTGCCAAAATGGCCAAACATGCCTTTAAATATCCTTAAAAATAATCACTTTTCAGTGACAAGGACTCATTATACCTGAATAACTTAAGATACCACTTGCTGCGTCTAAAAAGTACTTTTCGAAGTACTATCACATCACTTGCTACCCAAAAAGTAACTAGTTACAGGCTATCATGTTCTTTTTAATTACTTGCAAGCTGTGCTCCCTCCACCTGTAGCATTAAGAAGTACAGTCTAGAATCCTATTCTTTCAGGGCTGAACTACACACTGGAGATACCCCCTCATAAAAACAGGGAATTCCTGAAGTGCTGAAAAATTGTGCAATTGTCACAGCGGTTTTTTTTCAGCTGGCTTGCAAATTAGTTGGCTTTGCTTTGTGACTGGTCTTCTGAACATAAACACAAGCTTTGTCTGCAAATGTGATTTCTCAGACATGAAACGCTATTTGATTCACATCTCTGGAGCAATAATATGATTTCTGCTCTAATGACCGTCTGTAGTGTTTGGCCCTCAGACGGGATCTTAAACCACATGCTGCAGTAATGTTTCCTTAGTTCCTTTCTTCTTCCTCACTTCCTTGGTTCTTAAACTTAGGGAAGAAGTTTCTGATAACAAGAGCTGTTTGACAATGGAACAAACTACCTTCGAAGACAATGGACTCTCTCCCATTGGACAGTTTCACATAGAGGTTAGATGGCCATTTGCCACAGATGCTATAACTGTGGATTTCCACACTGGCATTTTGGGTGTCTTCCAACTCCACAATCCTACTTTCTATGATATTTTTAAAATCATGTATGCCAATTTAGGCTTTACACCTTTATACATCTACTGCACTGTCAGTGGAACTTTCTCCTAGATAAGTGGACGTAGAATTGCAGCCTTACTTTATTTTAATTTGTCTCCTTAGAATAAGATACACATTAGAAAGTAACTAATAAAAATATATTCATTTTTATAATAAATACCTGTATATTACCTTGAATCTGACTCCTTCTTCTAGAACAATATAGCCTTCTGATGGGGTCAAATCTACAGATGCTTCAGAAGAATTTCTCTCTCGTACAAGATACTGCACAGTCACAGTTCCAAATAACCCCTGTGGAGGCTCTCTGACAATGGTTAGTACTGCAACACTTTCCATTAAATAGAGAGCTGTCTGTTCCCTTAGAAAGAAGTGTTCACTGTTGTTAAAAGACAAAACACCGTGGCCATCATCATTGGCAAGGATAGTAACTGAAGCTGTGAAGAGAAAATGAAAGTAATGCTTACATTATTGCATCAAGCAACTTAGCCATATGTGATATAGGCAGAAGGAAAACAGGCAGAGATTGCCATATAACTCAACAATGGGTACCAAGAATGGTATACAGTACAGCGGACCCTCGACTTACGGAATTAATCTGTATTGGAACAGTGGCTGCAGGTTGAAAAGCCCGTAGGTCGAGGGTCCATTTCCCATAGGAATGCATTGAAAACCCATTAATCCATAACCAGCCGAAGAAAAAATCTCCCCCACCAAAAAAAGAAAAATGCAAAAAGCAGCACCTTACTGGTCCGAAGGGGTCCCTTGCCATCACCATTGCTGAAGCCCTCCAAGGGCTTCCCTGCCGCTGCTGGAGGCCTCAATGGGGTTGGAAGACACCCAAAATGCCAGTGTGGAAATCCAGTTACAGCATCTGTGGCAAATGGGGTCCCCGGCTGCCACAGCCGCTGCTGCTGAAGCCCTCTATTGGTGCTTAAAATATGATATATGTGTAAGCCAGAATTCTGTTGGGAAAAACTGCATGTGGAAAGGTAATGGTACACATGTTCCACGGAAGGGCTTCCCCCAGTAGGCCCAGTCTACTCCCCAGGAAAGCCTTGTAGACCAGGCCTATCAGGGGAGCTGATAGGCCCGGTCTACCAGGCTTTCCCAGGGAGTAGACCAGACCTACAGGGGGAAGCCCTCCCCTGGTAGGCCCAGTGTACCCTGGGAAAGCTGCCGCCGGTGGACGACCTCTGAGAGGCCTCCCATGGTGGCAGAGAAACAATACTGGTTGTTCTAATCTTCCTTATTATTAAACATGTGTTTTCTTCAACATAGCATTAACAAAATGTACAACTTTGACAAATTAAAGCCTTTTAACAGAGCTCAAGTGGCTAATGCCTTTGAGTCATCATCAGCAACATTTTAAATATGAACCATTCAAGTTTTCAGCAATCAATGAAAGAAAATTGAAATGAAAAAGAGAGCTCTTTTTTCGTTTCAGGTCTAATTGAATCCACTATTGATGGCACTAATTATTCCATTATTGGTGCTTAAACTATGATATATGTGTAAGCCAGAATTCTGTTGGGAAAAACTGCATGTGGAAAGGTAATGGTACACATGTTTCCTTCTTTGGCAGGGTATCTGTCATGTGACCAGTCATATGACACACACATATGCAGACTAACCAAAGAGAGAATATGTGTACATTTCCATGTGAAGCTTCTCCCAGCAAGATTATAATTCTTTTCTAAGCTATGCACAGTAACAGGTGCTTAATCTGGGACCAGATAATATACAACATTTGCTTCATACCGTCTTACTACAACAATACCATCGGCAGAGAATTAGAAGGCTGTTACTATGGAGGAGTACTTGAAATAGAAGTTCAATTAGCAGTTTAGCTCATAAATGTTACAGTACTGTTAGATCAACAGAGTAGCTAATTGTAAGAGAATACAATCACTTTCCTACTGCTGCTTTTTTTTGTTCACAATATTTTGGGCAGCTAAATAACTTTTTTCAGATATTACAAACCTGAAGAAAAATACACAATCATCTAATTATAAAATTTTGTAATTATAAAATGACCTTTTTCCAAGCTTAGTTAATATTAATATTACCTGTTGTGTTTTCTCCCAGCTCCAGTCCAAGGGATGGATTAGTTAAAATTAGCTGGAATCTCTCATCCCCTTCAGGAATCTCATCATCAATAATTGTAACATCAACACATTTATACCTTTCTCCATCAGCAAAAAATAGAATCTAGTAACAAAATTGGCACAAGAATTTAGCAAACAATGTTTCAAAATCCAACACTAAGACATAGAGGAGTAAATCCCAGGCAATTTGTACTAAAGGGCAATACAATTGTAACTCAACATATATTGCCTGTAGGGTGTGTGGAATAAGCAAAAGCCTCTTCTGCCAGAATAAAATTCTGTTCTGTAGGCTCAATCTTAACAAATTGACTGTTAGATAAGGAGGATCTACCAGCAGAATTGCTCTCTGGGAGTAAGATCTGTCACCAGAGCGAGTAAATAGTGAGGAAGCAGGATGCAAAGCAAGGGAAGAGACAAGTTATGTGATATCTGAAGATAATCTAGCCCAGGAATAGAACCACTATGCTAGCACAAAGTTAGTCGTAACACATTTTTCATATTTCCTTGTCTGTGAAGGATTTGGATTCAGCACAGCTTTAGCAGACATGGTGTCAATTTAGCCGCCCCCTGAGACTTCTTAGCTAGTCAGTACAGTGCTTTAACTATGTTAAGAATCAAAGGCATCATCAGCCCATTACATTTGACACATTTGCATAGAATTGTCGTAGGGTTGGAAGGGACCTAAAGGTCTTCTAGTCCAACCCTCTGCCCAAGGCAGGAGACCTCATACCATCCCAGACAGATAGCTGTCTAATTTTTTCTTGCAGACCTCCAGCAATGGGGCACCCACAAAGTTGGGAGGCAAGCTGTTGTGTTGAAATGAACTAGTATACAGAATGAATATCTGCAAGTGCAGAGTGAAATCATGCTTGGATAGCTCCCTTTCCAGTGTCCACATGGTCATACCAAACTCATAACCAAACACACTACTGCAAGTTATACTGACAGGTAGGAATGCCCAAGGTATTTTTGGTCTTTGGAAATTCTGGGGCAACTGATTTGATCCATATCATACAGACAAGTGTGTAAATGGGACTGTAATTATCGTGCAGATCTTGTGAATCTATGATGTTTGCAAGGCATTCCTTGTTTTTAAAAATGTATCAAAATGCGTTTGAAAAAATACATATATATTTTAAAAAGTTTACATATGCACACATTTAGAAAAACACATAAGGAATTCTGTATTATATATGGAAAAACACATTCAAAATAATTTTAAACACATAGTTTAAACAGTATTTAACTCAATTTTAATTTTTTCTGGAAAATTTTTGTACAGGTTTTTTTAATGTACATACTAGAATAGAATGGGACTGAAGTAACTATAAAAAAAGAATAATTGATTTAGACCAGAAAAGATTTGTTCTGTCCTTACAAGCACTCCCTCCATATATTTGGCAAAACTGCTTTTTAAAAGGTGGTATCCCCAACTTCATTCAGATCAATCACAAAAGGCCACATCATTTTGAGGCACTGTTTCTCCCACAAATTCAAAGAGCCTTTGCTGAACTTAGATTTCAGCAGATGCACTCTGCATATCTCAAAGGGATATACAAAAGAATTCCAGTTATAGAACGGAAATGTGTATTCAGCTGCAACCAGATAGAAGACATAATCCACTATTTATTTTCCTGCCCCCTCTATAAGGACCCCACAGAAAGATTTTTGTTACTTACTATCCAGTCATTCCCTAATTGCACACCCAAGGAATTAGTATTAAGATTGCTTGTTGGCAATCAGCTACTCATTACATATTCTGTAGCAGTATTTGTGTTGGCAGCCAAGAAGCTGAGGTCTGGTTTTCTAAAGGACCTTAATGCCATTTAATTTGATGGTCCATAGTTTAGTTGGAGATGTTCAAAGAAGGGCACATTTTAAAACATGTAGTTCTAAAATGTAGGTTTTTAAAACCTGGATTTTCTCTTTATATCATATATTGCATATTGTAAACACCTATAATAAAGTTTTGACTGACTGGCATTTTAAAAGGTTCCTGATCATATGAACAGACTGTCTCAGTGGATGCAAATAACATTTGTGTAAATTCTTTGTGTAAATTCTCTTCTAACCTTCCATGTATGGAAGTTAAGGTTAGACTTTCATTGCCGAATTCATTCTACGTATATGGATTTGCTACCTTAAAAGGCACCACGGATCATGAGTTCTAGCAAAAGATTTGCATTTGTTTTTGCCTCCTATATTTCTCAAATAAGTCTCAGTTAGGGATGTGCTACTCAGAGCTTTTTAACTCCAGCTCCCAGAATTCTCCATGAATTCTACAAGCAGAATTTTGGGAGATGCAGCCTGCAGGTCATAACTATAGACACCTACATTTTGCTCACTGGCACCAGGGCCTTGTCTCAGAGGCTGCATGGCAGTCTCAGGCCTATTTTCTGTTGTAAATGTACAAAAAATAAAGCTTTCCCAGTGCTTCCTGGGAGTTGCAGTCTCCCTGTCCCTTAGGCTCTGTAGAAGATTCCTTCCAAAGAACTGCAACACCCAGGAAGCACCACAGTACAGTGGTGCCCCGCATGACGACGATAATGCGTTCCACAGAAATTGCTGTTTAGGGAAACACTGTCTTGCAAAAACCGTTTCCCCACTGGAATGCACTGAAACCCATTTAATGCGTTCCAATGGGGAAAAATCGTTGTTTTGTGAAGATCGCCCATAAGGAAGCCATTTTGCGAAGCGTCAATCAGCTGTTAAAATGGCTGCCTTGCGAAGCCTTGGTCTGAAAACACCCGTTTTCCGAAGCGCCAATCAGTGGCAAAATCATTGTCTTGCGAAAATCGGTTTGTGAAGCAGGGACCCAAACATCGTCCAGCGAAAATCACCCATTGGAATCACTGTTTTGCGAATCACTATAGCGATTGCAAAACCTCATCGTCATGCGGATTCATCATTTTGCGAGGTCATCATCTAGCGAGGTACCACTGTAGCTTCCTTTTTTGTTTATTAACAACAGGAAGTAGGCCTGGGATGCCATTCAGCTTCTAAGACAAGACCCGGTGCAAGTGAGTGAAATTTAAGTCTACGACCTGGAAGTTTCAATTCTCTGGCCTTCTTTTATAAAATCTAGAATGTATGAATTCTCACTAACTATATTATATTATACAAGATTACATCATATGTTCTGTGGTCAGTTCTTACCCTTGAAGAAATATTAAAGTCCAGTCCCTGCTGTGCTTCTAAGTTCTGAGCGTACAAGAACAAGGATACATTACCATAAGTTCCTCTGTCCCGGAATACCACTAATGTCAAGTTTCCATCTAACTCACTTATTTCAAAACTGAGGAGGGAAAAAGAAAAACAGCTCATTATATTTATTAGCAGGAAGTTTAAAACTTCAAATATTCACATAACTTACAAATCAAACAGATATGCCTGGAAGCTCATTGTTAGCATAACATTTTACAGCAAAAAATACATCCCTGAGTGAATCCTGGAGGCAGAAGTTGTATTTACAATCGTAGACTGACTATACTTGAGTATACATAAGTAAGTATCATCTACTCTGCAAGGGTTGGAAAACCTACTCTTTTCAACTACTGTATATCAAGAATCCCTCAGCCAGCATACTTACCCTGGGTAGATATCACAGTAGTCATGGTTCAAAAGAGTAAAGTTTCCAAACCTAACTTTGGCTAAAATCCAATAGTAATTAGAGTAAGATGATTAAATTAGGGTAGATTGATTAAACCACTTGGGATTTTGTGAAAGGTATTAGAGATCCCATAGTTTGAATCTGGGACCTTTTACTGGCTGAAATCCTCGATTCAGCATGCAAGAGGTAATACCTACAAAATCTTCTTAACTTGTGGTAATTTGCTTCAAAAACCTCCATCTTTCACATAACTGCACTCCAAGAATTCAGCTACTATGTTTTATTTTACCATTTCTTCAAAGGGTTCATTGTACTATATTTATTCCTCACCCACCTCATCCTTCCTGCAACCCTGCCAGATAGAACAGGATGCACGAGAGTAACTGGCTGAACGTCAGCCAGTACATTTTGTGACTGGGTGAGAATTTCAGCCTTGTTGTCTTTGCAGTCTAAGCCCTGCACTGTAAACACTAAATCACAATGACTTTCTTATGAATGCCCCTGAATTACATATATCCAGTAATGGAGATATATAGTAGTGTGGGAATCTGAGAGCTGAGGGATTGGCTTTTTGAGTGGCATATTTCTCAGGGAAATATGGACACACTAGTGATACACATTCTTCTGGCTCATCCGTATCACCCAAAAACCATCCAAACTGTGGTAGCAAGGTAGCACCACCTTCTATTTCTACTAACACAGGAAATAACTGAGCACTCAGGAAACTGAAAACATGGACAATCTTTACTGGGGACTTACTTTTTGTTTTGCCAGCCAATTATTCCTCTTGCTCCATCGTTAGCATCAATAATTATCTGTGCTGCCAAACCATCTATGTCTAAACAGAAAATAGGTTTCAAAATTGTACAATATTTTGAACATTGCTTTATAAATGATTAATAAATGCAGTACTCTGGAAATACTTGGGGGAAAGTACTTATGTCTCCAGAACTCAGGCTATTAAAACAATAAAGGTGGTTATAATGTCAATAATAATATATTGATGGTTTTTTTTTCATTTTAAATGTTTATAGGTCACCACTCTGCTCAAAGTCACTAATGTTAAACATTTATTCATAAAGTATTGGACTTAATTAGTTTTAAATGCTTTGAAAGGAGACACTGTACTTACTGAATGAAAGGGAATGAAAAAGACTTCAAACTATATAACAGACCTAAATATTCTCTATGGTGTTTCTAATGCAGACATATATCTCAGATAAATTGGCATAGGTTTTAGGGTTTTTTACCTTTCAGTTTGTAATGAATTAACCCAGTGGAATCTATAAGCATGCAAACAAAGGAGGTGAAATTGAAAAGAGGTATACATGAAGGCATTCCCTTAACAATATGAAATATGAGCTGCCCCCAAAGTTCTGAGCAAAGCTAGTTTTACAGAAAACAGTGCAAAAACAGAAGCAGAAACAGAAACAAAGACTTACAGAAAATGGCACCAATCTAATGATGGCTTTATTGGAAATTCCTCTTCCATGTCTTAGGGCTAAATTAAGCATTGCAAATAGCCTGGCACTAAATACTTAAATCAGTGTTCCAGGGATGTGATTTAGGAAGACCTTTATGACTGAGGCTGGCTGGATAGCTCAGTTATACACCTGGCTGTGGAGTTACAGGTTGGGAATTCTATTCCCCACAGTGCATCCCAGAAGAGCCAGCCTGTGTGGCCTTGGGCCAGCTGCACAGTCCCAGGGTATCCCTAGAAGAAGGGAGTGGTAACCACTTCAGCGTACTCTCTACCAAACTCTGAGCAGGGTCGTCACAAGTTGGAATCAGTTTGATGCTACATAATTAATTAATTATCTTTAACATACAGATACATCTTGGAATGCCTCTCGTAGCATTTCCCAGCTAATGCAAATATTTTCAAAGCAATTCCTCCTGTAATATTGGACCGTCTTGTAAAGAAGAAGAAGAGTTGGTTCAGGATGCAATATGGTAGTGGTTGTGGTTGTTAAAGAAAAAACAGACTCGCCGGATCCACACTAAGGTAAAGGTAAAGGTTGCCCTTGACATTTAGTCCAGTCGTGTCTGACTCTAGAGCGCGGTGCTCATCCCCATTTTCAAGCCGTAGAGCCAGCGTTTGTCTGTAGACAGTTTCCGTGATCACGTGGCCAGCACTACTAGACATGGAATGCCATTACCTTCCCACCGTGGTGGGACCTATTTATCTACTCACATTTTTACATGCTTTCGAACTGCTAGGTCGGAAAGAGGTGGGACAAGCTATGGGAGCTCACTCCGTCGCATGGATTCGATCTTATGACTGCTTGGTCTTCTGACCTTGCAGCACAGAGGCTTCTGCGGTTTCACTGGCAGTGCTACCACATCCCCACACTGCTAGATCCATATTACATTAGCCCAGTCCTTTACGTTATTTCTATGAACCTTTTCCTCAATCACTGACTGGTAATCCAGAGATAAGTGCTTGTTTTGACATATAAAGCCCTAAACGGCTTGGGCCCTGGATACCTGAAGGACCGCCTCCTTCCATATGAGCCTACCCGGCAGTTAAGATCTAGCCAGGGGGCCCTTTTGAAAGAGCCATCCCTCAAGGAGGTAAGAGGGACGGCTTGCAGACAAAGGGCCTTAAGAGTTAACGTATGAAGGCTGAGGGCAGCCAAGGGAAGAAAGGGCCATATGCTGTGGGTCCGATGGCAATTTTATATATATATTAATTGTATTTTAATTGTTACATGTCTTTATTGTATTTTAAATGCTGTAAGCCGCCCAGAGACCTTTGGGTAGTGTGGGCGGCATATAAATTAAATAAATAAATAAAATAATAAATAAATAAATAAGGGGAAATAAAATCATAGATGGCAGTTACCTCACTAGTTGGTACAAATAATGTGGCCTTATTTTTAGCTAACTCTAAGAAAGTGTTGCCAACAATATTTATATAAATTGATTAGTTGGGTAAATCAGCAAGGTTGACTATGAACACCAAACAAAAGGAATCCCTTCATGTAAATATTGGTTCAGTGATCTACAAACAAATTAATTAGATCTTTCAAATAAAAAGATAATATAATATATTCACTTAAAACATCTTAGGTCATTGAAGTATAATTCATCTCTCTTTTTTGTTATCTTAAGTAGTTATTGGAGAGTACGCCAAACATGTAATTTATATGGATTCAGGAATTTTTACCAGAGTATATCTTTTAAGCAGCTGTTAAATAACCTTGACAACGAACAGTTTTTTGAAACCGTGCATAAATTTACAAAAGTTGGTGAAAAGAAAGAGATCAAAATGCTACTAGATAACAATCAATGAAACTGTTTGCAAAGACATTAAATTTATACCGAGTCTGGGAGGGAAAGATGTTGAAGGCTGTATGATAAGTTCCACAGATGTTAAATTAACAAGGAAAAATTCTTGCATCTCTGGTATATTATCCTGCAAAACAGATGCACAATATATGCTCCAATTTTTGTCTTCTAGCCAATATTACAGAATAAAACAAAAGGTTTTCAACTTTTAGTCTCTGCTTCTAAAACTACTTCAGATGAACTGTTGTGGTTTATATGAGGATGAAATGTATATTTTTAAAATAATATGGTAGGGATAAGGGATAGAAAATGGATTGGCACTGAGGAGACGGGTTCAATTCCCCAGCTCTGCCACGTAAACTCACTGGGGGAGGGGAGTGGAATTAGTAAAATCATTCTAAATACCTCACTCATCTTGAAAACCCTGTTAGGTTTGCTATAAGTAAGTTCTGACTTGATAGCACATAAAAAACAGTAACAGGGTAAGGGAAGTTTGCACATGGTAGCCAAAAAATAGAAAGTTGGAGGACAAACTGAATCCGTCCATGTCTGCACTTTTAAAATATGAAGTGTGCCACATCAACGGGGAATACAGCTGGGTGAAACAGGTCTATCCCACCTTTGTAAATCAAAGTTCTCTCTTTCTGAGTAACTATTTTCCTTGGCTTTTTGCCTCAGATATTTGTATAAAAACATCACTATGCATTGCAGAACTTATGGCCTAAGTCCCGCATTCATCAAAACCAAGAGATACTTTCCCGCAGTGAATGAAATTCTAATTTACCTCTAGAATAGTAACATTTATGGTGGCTGATGTTTCTCCTTCTCCTAGAAGCAATGACCCTGATACGGGTAAATAGTCAACTCCTGGCTCAGCCAAACTCCCTTCAGTTTGATTCCTTGAGCCAAGAAATCCTGGAACTGTTGTATAAGTGACATTGATAATACCTGGCAAACAGATAACAAAGGTTTTTTTTTAAGAACTCAGATATAATTATAACCAAGAGAAAGATAAATAAAGAACACTTTCCAATTATATATGCACAATAGGGAAGAAAAATGTATGGCCATTTAAGATTAATAGGTCCAACATATTACAGTAACAATAGGGAAGAAAAATGTATGGCCATTTAAGATTAATAGATCCAACATATTACAGTACCTCTTCTTTAGCTCCTAATTAAAGAGACTCCAGAGGAATCACACAATATCTGAGGATCAGTTTGCAATAAACACTCTTCTTCAAAATGAAGAGTTTTTATTTGTGTAGAACCCAGATAAATTCATTTACACCACAAGAAAAGTTTCTGAATATCTTTAATAAAGGTTTCATACAATTCACCCCCTTCCTGGGTAGAGAACGAATAGGATGACAAGCAAGCTCATGCTATCATTCTTTTTCTTTTTTTTTCTTTAATTGAGAAAGCTTATATCTTAAGTACAGAATAAAAGTCATTCCAAGAGTATAAAAGATTAATATTATTCCAAAGATAGCCAAGGGTAAATATTGCAGCCACATTTTTTGTTAAGAGAATATTTAGCCTTATCTGAGCGATAAGCTTAATTTAAAATATATTAAAAGACCATCTAAAGAATTTTAAAGACATATCATACAATAGTATTGCCAGAATATAAAATATGGATAGCCAATGGGTGAGGCTCTGTTTTTCTTGAGTGATGTTGCTCATGATCTCCTTCCTCTGAATCTCTTCTAAATTTGCCCTTTATTGCCTCTTCAGTCATAAAGCACTGAACACTCTGTTTCAGCCAGAGAGGCAGTAGCTAATGACACTTATCCTTATCTAGTACCAAATTTCTTATTGCTGTTAGCAGTAGCTACCAATTACTTTTAATTTGTGTTCTTACCTAAACTGTCTTTTCTGCTTATTTACAAGAGCTCAGAGGATTTTACACGCTCATTCTTCTGACTATAAGTGCTTCCTGATGTTGTTACTAAGTTAGTTCTTAACATTTATTGATGAATATGCCATTTTTTGTCATTTGTAACATTTAATTGGCTCTTGACATCTGTTTTATCTATTCCAAGCTTTTTGGCAATTCAAGAGTTTCTTTGATACAAATCAAACCAATTAATATTCCTCTTTTGGGTTGTTATTACTTCCAACAGATGTATTTTTAGTTCATACTCTGATTTAACGGGGCATTGCCTCTTGATAGCATTCCATTATCTAAAGACAAGTCAGAACACCTGAGTTTTTAACAATTATTTCAAGTACAGTAAAAAGGTAGTTGTGACAACAAAGATTTCACCCCATTATCTATGTTTTATAGCTCTTTAAAAACATCATTTATTGTTATTTCGGCAAAAAAAACATTGCCTGTGAAGGATTCTGTTATCTCACTTAGTTACATCTTATTTACAGAATTAACTTTCTTTATAATCAAGCTAGGAACAGTTTTTATCTTATTTGGGTCGTTTTCTGAGAAATTAATTTTACCAAAACCAATTTTTGCTAGTTCTGAACACTTGCCAAGAATTCTTTAATAAGGAGCTCTGTACTGTTCAAGATCATTCAGCCAATTATTTTTCTCTTAAGCAAAAAACAGCCAAGATATGTTACAGTTGAATCATTGTCTGCTGATAGTTGAGTTCAGAGACTGTTGAGTATTTCTGTTCTTCTACTGATTACTTATGACACAGATCTATGAGCATTTATATCTAGCAAATCAAACCTCCAAGACTATATTGCAGTGGGGAGTCCACCATGGTTTCCTTGGGATAATCCTTTTCATTCTTTCTCATCTCCTCCAAAAGCTTAGAGAAGGTTTTTTGGGGGGGTTTTTTGCATCACAATTATCTGAGTTACCTATGCCATCTCAGGAATAAGATTAAGAGTTGTAGTAAAAAAACATAATTTTTTCAAAACCCTCTAAGTGGTGCCCACTCAATACCATATTCCATGGCCACTGTATAAGTTTAACTGGCATTTTGTTTTGTTTGCTCCCTTGGGATTTCCCCCCTAATTTTGTGTGTGTGTGTGTGTATGCAAGTGCAGCTCATCAGGTGTATTTGAGTCTTACTGTTGCATGCAGAGGGTGTTTTGGCTACATAAGGAGTGGGATTTTTGAGAATTCAGCTGGCTATTTGGATATATGACATGGTCACAGCTATTGTTCTCCAAGATTCTTAATTTATGGTAAAAGTTACATTAAACAAATTCAATTAAAAGTTATATAAATCAGTTGGGCATAAAATACATAAATAAATAGAACACAATGTTTTCTGCAGTGTCCATCTAGATATATGTCTGTCCATCTACATAAAGAAACGAAAAGACACTAGAGACATTTAGTGCGAATTGCACAAACTATGAAAAAAAACAAATGCATAAGATTTTGATCACAGACTGGAGCCAAAAACTGTCAAGATAATTGAAAAACCCTCAAAAAAGGCTGTGTTGTCATGCTTAGAAAGCCTGGATCACAGAAAATAATAATAGAAAGATTTGTTCAAATCCATAATGGATTTCATTCCACAAGACAATCTTTTTTCTATCACTTAAGCATCTCTGTCTATCTGTCTCCCTCCTGATCTCTCCCCGCCTCCCTCTCTCCCTCCCCCTTCTCTTTCTCTCCCTGTGTTTTTCTTAATTTGCTCCAGATGTTTGGATGTTGATATATTTAATTAAATTTTGCTTTTATAATGGTCTTATATGCAAGGTTTTTGTAGATTTCTTTCAATGTAAAGACTTGCATTGTTCTTTGATTTATTATAAAGAACATTGGGATGTCTTGTTGCACAATAGTATGTGGGAATAGATGTCTTCTGTTCCTAAACACTCATGCATGTCATATGTTCAGAATACAGCATCATTGATATACAGACCTAAAGATCCAAATTCTCTATTAATGAAGAGTTGAATAGTGTAGTTTCCCTCTTGCACCAAAACAACTCTAGATGAAGAAGCAAAATTCAGAACTCCATGAGGTTCATCACTAGCCTCTACTGTCAGAACTGCTTCATCCCCTTGGCTGTCCAATACTGCTGCTCCTGTAGAAATGACCCCTGAATAATAAAACAATGTTAGAATTATGCTAGACAAGATGGTAATCTGCACAAACGTGTATTTCTAAAAAGATCCTACAATCCTAATTTATGATTTTCCTCAGGATTTGTGAAATCTATAATTACATCAGAAACATGAATGAGAAAAAATGGTGCTACATTTAGTATATTTACAGATGGGAGCTATAAGAAAATGTTGGATGGCACCTCTTTGGTGCTCCAGCCAACTGGTTAGTAATGTTTTTCTTGTATTCTGTGCTGATCAGCACTATTCACTGGGTAGTTTTTGTGCCCCTCACACATTTTTCTGTGTTTTCCTTCTTCTGTAAACCAGGATTTTCTGCAACCATACTGTTATTTTGACTACCAAAGGCTACCACATTTGGAGAATAAGGCAAGAAATATGGGGAAACCATACAGAGAGGAAGTGGCAAAAAAGGTTGCTGGAACAATTCTCTTAACATAGAAAATTTACAATGTTTGGGGCCTTTTGGGTTAGAAAAAAAAGCAAATCATTTGGGAGAGATATTAGAGGCTTATAATATCATGACTGGCCTACAGAAAGGGATGTGAAATCTTTCTAATACTACCAGATGCTGGGATTCATAGACTGAAATGAAATGACTGGAGATTCAGGGCAGATAAAAGGAAGTATTTCTTGACACAGCACTTAGTTAAAATTATGAAATTTGCTATCACAGAATATGACGGTGGCTAGAGTACAACAGAAGCATCTTTAGGAGAGGGTTGCACAAATTCAAGAGAGAGAAGGCTGCTATCAGTGGCCAAAAATCACTCAGAGGCAGCATGCCTCTTAACACTAATCTTTGGAGAATAACAGCTGACCTCATGTTCTGCTTGTAAATTTGCTGTAGGCATCTGGCTGGCTGGCCACTGTGGAAAAGAGTTTCCTGGGCTTTGGTCTGTTCTGCTACTTTCTTCTTTTGTTCTTATATTGTATTTCTCAAACACGCGCCCCTTACTTGATGGCTGCTAGCATCAAGTGATGATTTGCATGTATGAATAAGCTAACACAGATCATACATCACACAAAAAACATCCCTATCACTGCAAACACATCACTTTTCATCTGATTACACAAATCACAAGATGGTGAGTAATTAAATTATATGTATGCATATATAATCATAATGGTGCTGGAGGAGACTCTTGAGAGTCCCCTGGACTGCAAAGAGAACAAACTTATCCATTTTGAAAGAAATCAACCCTGAGTGCTCACTGGAAGGACAGATCCTGAAGCTGAGGCTCCAATACTTTGGCCATCTCATGAGAAGAGAAGACTCCCTGGAAAAGACCCTGATGTTGGTAAAGTGTGAAGGCAGGAAGAGAAGGGGACGACAGAGGACGAGATGATTGGACAGTGTCACCGAAGCTACCAAGATGAATTTGACCCAACTCCGGGAGGCAGTGGAAGACAGGAGGGCCTGGCGTGCTCTGGTCCATGGGGTCACGAAGAGTCAGACATGACTTAACGACTAAACAATAGTCAGACATAATATTCAGAAGCATCTTTAGGAGAGGGTTGCACAAATTCATGAGAGAGAAGGCTGCTATCAGTGTTTTATCTCCACTATGACTGTGTTACCTTCAGTTCTTATATTCTGTAGGATTACTTGGTATTCCTCTTTTTCTTCAGGGACATGGTCATCCAGCAGGTGAATAGAAAATGTTGCATTCAGGGATCCCTATTAAAGGGGGAAAATAGTGAATTAGAACTTGACAGAAAACTGTAAAGTTCTATAGATAGTAAAACATTCTGTTTCACAGATGCAAAAGATGGCCCTGCAACATTTTGTGGGGATTCTCTACAACTGGAAGCCCAGCTTTTTGTCACAGAGTTAAGGCAAGTTCCATTGTTACAGTTCCTTGCTAGCACAAGGTTATTGTGATACTGTATGTTCAAGGACATTTAATGGTCTTTAGAATATAACAGATTTCTCTGATCTGAAAAAGATCTTTGCATGGTATTTGTTAGACAGTTAGTGATCAATTACAACTGAAATCCCATACACATTTAATTGGAATTAAGTTCCATTGAAGTCAATTGGGTTTATTCAGACGAGCCATCTGTAGGACTGCATGGTACAGAAGAAGGAAAGACGTCTGCTCTACCCAGCTGTATCCGACTCATTTGTGGCCATCCTTGTCATTTTTTGTTATTTTCATGCCAAACACAAATTATTGCTGTTACCTCCAAAAAGAAGATCATGCCAGAAATGTTTTCAAAGTTTTGGTCCAGATGGCGCCCAACAATTTTCCACTCAACAGTGACATTTCCAGATCCTGGTGCAGTTCTTACCACATGAAACTGCAAATGCTCTCCTAAAAGTGAAGAACGCATAAGATCATAGTAACAAGAGGAAAGAAGAAAAAATGATGGGGGGGGGAGGCAAAACCCACCAGGAACTTCTCATGTTGTCCCATGACAACAAACAAAAGTTTCTCAAATAGCCCTTAGTGCCCAAATTATTTTAAAGGCAAATATTTGTCAGACATTTCTGATGAATGATTTCCATTACATAATTGCAGCTAAAAGATCTTTTATGCATGCAAAGTATACATAAAATAACTGCTGCTCATTTTTGAAAATAAGAAGCTTATATGTATATTTATAGGTACATTTGTTTTAAATATCCTAGTAAACCAAAAATAATAATAATGTAGAACCACCTCTCACATTCGGAGTGGAAAGTAGAGGAGGAAATGAACAAAATGAATTCTGCGAACTCATTTTCTTATAAACACAACTGAAAGCTGATAATCACCAGAGCATGCAAAAAAGAGCAAGAAATAAAACCATGTAGTCTAATAGCAACAATAAATGCTGTATGTACCAGCTATTTCATCTCATAATAATTTCTAATGCAACTCAGTTACAGAAAATATACAAATAGTATAACATCACACTGTAGTGGAATGTTACACAGTGCATGCAGGAAAATGCTTGTAGTTACCTGTAGATTTCATTTATTTCAGTTAAAACTTACACAATACCATCAGTGTTACAGTTTTCTTTTAATTCAAAAAAAGGAATTCACAAGAAGTTAATAGTTATCTGTGTTTAACATAACATACTTAGACTTGTGAACATAACAGAAGAAAAACCATACATATTATAGAGAGCCAAAGTATAATTTGGGAACATTAATTTTCTGTGTGGCCGTGATTTGTAAAGGCCTTAAGGCAGCAGAGATTATTATCTGCTTGACAAACAGTTGCTTTATTTACAGTATTGCAAACAGTTAGTATCCATGTTCAAATAAATTAAACAAGGATGATCACAGAGTTGTAGATTGTCGCACATACATAAATAAGCTCATAAAAAAGTAAACACAGAGAATTCATACTTCTCCTTTTTAAAAAATGTTTTTGACTCACAGAAAATTCATCCCTTTGTAGAATTATGTTCTCAGTGTATTTCTATTGCATTTTTCAAATGCACAATATTTCACTTTGCAACAAGGATGATCACAGAGTTGTAGATTGTTGCACATACATAAATAAGCTCATAAAAATGTAAACACACAGAATATCTCTTTCTTCTTTTAAAAAAATGTTTTAGACTCACAGAAAACTCATCCCCTTGTAGAATTATGTTCTCAGTGTATTTCTATTGCATTTTTCAAGTGCATAATATTTCACTTTGCATGGGTCGAAAGAAAAGATGTGTATAGCAAAGAATATTAAATTATGATGATAAAACACAGACTGTATCATATAATGCAACTGAAATGGCTGAAAAACCTTTTTTTAAAAAATAAAATATTCACATTTTCTAAAACTTTGACATTCCTATTCATTTCAGGAAAGTTGTTAATTCTCTTCACATTTACACTGATAGAGTTCCGACTAAACACAATTCACTTGGAGCAGGAACTGGCAAGCCACTCCAGTATCTTTGCCAAGAACGCCCCATGATCAGAAACAAAAGGCTCAAAGATATGATGCTGGAAGATGGGACTCCTGAGGAACAGTGGAGGAAAAGTACAAGTTTCGTTTAGTCGTTTAGTTGTGTCCGACTCTTCGTGACCCCATGGACCAGAGTGCGCCAGGCCCTCCTATCTTCCACTGCCTCCCAGAATTAAGTGAAAGGAAAGTCTGATGCTGCAAAGAAAAATACTGCATAGGAACCTGGAATGTAAGATCTATGAACCTTGGTAAGCTGGATGTGGTCAAACAGGAGATGGCAAGAATAAACATTGACATCCTGGACGTCAGTGAACTAAAATGGACAGGAATGGGTGAATTCAACTCAGATGATTATCATGTCTACTATTGTGGGCAAGAATCCCATAGAAAGAATGGAGTAGCCCTCAT